GAGATTTGAGGATTATAAACACAGCAGGCCACCAGACGCTTTTAAAGGGACAACATTGAATTCCTACATGGGGCTGCTTACCACAGAAGGAGCGATCTGGCAGAGTAAACCAAACACCATTCCAGTTCAACTTTAACTAAAAAAAAAAAAAAAAAAAAACCCATCTTTAGTTCATTCTCAATGAGTAAATTCTACACATGCAAATGAACAGTGGTGAAAAAGCCCTTGTGAAATAATTATTAGTGAAGGCTAAATAAACTGGTAATTTGGAAAGCAATCTTCATGACAAATAAATGGCATCGAATGACTAATTAGTCTCGAGCTAACCAAGTATGATTACAGTGCTGAGCTTTTAGCATTACTAAGGCTTTCAAAGGACGGTAAATAAAATAGCCGATGTGGCCACCGGGCCCTAGAAATGCCAAGGGGACCGGATGCCTCTTGATTCCGGATACATCCATGTCAGTTGCAGCTGTGACGCAGACCTTTGGAAGTTAAAGCAGTATGCCGATAGGTCAAAGCCCACAGTTCAATGGTAGTTAATTTAGAAATGTGAATTTTTGAAGGTGAAATTTGAATTAATGGTGTGTGGCTTTATGCGGAAGGCTAGCTGGGGGGAAGTGAGAGACTGAAGTGAGAGAAGTAAGAGAGTCTCTACTGTATGCGCTATTATTATTTAAGAGAAATGCAATTGTATTCTTTTTAAGTTCATAGGGTAACTAAAATCTTTATTCATTTTCTTTCCATTTCATACGAATTGGTAGCTAAACGTCTACTGGAAGGCTGGAAGGGAATGGCATTGATGAACATCTAAGCATGATTCGTGCTGGCCGTATTCATAGTTGGCGTATAACCGGTGACTAATGTCCCTGGGTTGCCTGAAAATTGTTCCCTTTATTCCTTCACTATGTGACTACTGTGTGCTGAGCACAATTTAAACATTCTTCGTTCTGTCATAACTCATTCTCATCACTCCTCTGCGGCTGCTATCGCCACCAATGCCACCAATGCCATTGTCGCCGCCCCCAATGCCATTGTCACTGCCACCATCACCACCACCGCCAGAACCCCCGCCAACATCACCACAATTACCACCATGGTCACTACCACCAGCACTTAGTACGTATGCCAATGTTATTTAATTACCGCAACAACCCTATGAAAAGTTCACTCCTCCTTTACCGATGAGGTAACTGAGGCTTGGAAAGGTTGGGTGACTTGTCCCAAGCCTCTTTATTTTACGAGGGAGATCTTTCTTGCCATTACAAGATGCAGGGACAGAAAATCTTGACCCCTTTCTGATTCTGGATCTAGCAACAATGCTAAGCCAATTGGAGTTTGAACTCGTTTTCACGGAGTTTTATTCCAATAAATGTCTTTTTAGAGGGAAGATGCCTTTAGAAACTGTTGTTAGAGTAGGGGTGGTGGAGGGAAGGTTGCTAAGGTAGAGGGTAGAGGCTACTCATTCTTACTCAGGACTTCTGGATCTAATCTCGGGTCCTGTGATTCTGCATTCCATGTTCTTTTTCACTACCTAAGCTCACCTACAAACCCTCCCCCTTAGCATCCAATTATACCCAAAGAATGCAATGATTTCTCCTGCACTGTTACTGAAACCAGACATCCCTGATGGTTTGCCCACAGTTGTGTGGCACTCCAAATGAGTGGCAGGCCTTCCCAGGCCTTCTCCAGAACGCTCCTTTCTGCCTGAACACGCCTCATAGACTATTTCAAAAGCAAAACCCTTCAGCTGGCAAATGGTAACAGCTGCTTCTCTTCAAAACACCCAGCGGGTAAAACCTCTGGGCTCCAATGCACAGGCCTAACACTCTAGCCAAGTCTGGATGGGTCTCGGTGTTAACTCCTGCAGAAAAGGTTATTGGTAGTGAACTTGGATGTGAGGCCAGGCCAAAACCCGTTTTATTGCTGGGTACTGTTTCTCAGCCACAGTAGACTGTGACTGTGGAAGACGTTGTGTGGGTGAGAAAGAAACTTGTACTTAATTGGGGGAGGTTGTGGTGAGGGAAGGGGAAGGAGAGTGTGTGAGTGGTAGAGGGAGGACAAAAGGGCACAGACATGAGCCCACCATGATAGGAAGGGAAATGAAAGTCTTCTAACCATCAGCCAGGAATTTAATGGACATCTCCAGTACGTATGACATGGATTCAGCACCAAGGAAAAACCAAAGGGGAACTAGACCCACCCTCTCTCCCCAAAATGATTATGGTCTAGATCAGGGTTGGCCAATCACTTATTTGCATCAAGTACTACTCTAATTACTGGGAATACAGCAGAAAAAAAGAGAGAGACAGAGAGACAGAGAGAGAGAGAGAGAGAGAGAGAGAGAGACCAGTGTTTTGTTATTACTGAGGACGTTGGGGGAGGGTGCAGGGTAAATTTAATAAGGTAGAAGGGAAAGTCTGTCTGAAGAGGCAACATTTGAGCCATATAAAACATTAGAGAAGCACTTCCGAAAAAGAAGGTAGAGCAAACGTAAAGGTTTGAGATGAGAATATTCTTGGTATGTGTGAAGAACAGAAAAGGCCAGTGGGGCTGGAGCTGAGTGAGCGAGCGAGAAAGTGAAGGAGGGTCAGCTTTAGCTCTTAGGTGGCCTCTCAGGCCACAGTAGGAAGTCAGGATTTTGTGCTGATTTCAGAAGGATTTGGGTGGGTTTTCCTTGACTCTCCAGCTCTGGTGAACTAGTAGTGACTGCTTAGGTCACTGTGATGAGAGATTCAGAAGCCTTACAGCTCAGTGGGGAAGAGTTCAGTGATGGCTTAAGAATATATAGAATAGATGAGGCAATGGTAACAGTCGTGATCAATATTTACCATCTCTGAGAAGGATGGAATATTAAGTTGCATTAGTCAGGTTACATCCCAGGTTATGCTGCAGTGGCCACATCACTAAAACCTCCGTGGATTAAGGCGATCGTCCAAGTGACTTCTTGTCATGCTAAGTCTACCGTAGGTCCAGGCAATTCTTCAGAGCGGCTGTCTTCCATGCGGTAGCTCAGTGATTCTGCGTGGTTTGATTTTATGGCACCTGCATTTTAACAGAATGGCTGCATCAGGGAAACAGAACAGTAAAGGATCTCTTACCAGTGACTAAATGCTTTGGCTCAGAAATAATTCATGCCGTTTCTGCTTACACCCCATTGGCTAAAACTAGTCACGTGACCCCATCTAATTGTAAGCGAGCTGAGAGAGGGTGATTCTCCCATGTGCCTAAATGTGGAGGAGAATCTAAGTAAGCAGTAAAAATCTAGCATGTAAGTCCACTTTAAAGAAAGTCTAGTCACCCTCCGATGCATTTTTGTAATGAACTGGCTGAGGAGTAGTAAATAAAAAAGGACTTCAGAAAGGAGTGACATTGACCAGGTATATTCCCAAAAAGCTCTATAGATAAGGGTACCTGAGTGATCTTGATAGATGGTCTTGTTAGAAAGTCACCCTCCAGCTCCACTGTACCCTCTCCAAACCCGCTAAATCCTTTTCTTTTCCTGGTCCAACCCCATCCACCAGTTTGCAATAGGGTCTTCGCACTTGTCTGGCTCGTTTAACTTCTTACTTTGGATGCAATATCATATTTGCTATGTAACCTTGGACAATTTATTCAATCTCTTAGAGCTTAAGTTACTCATTTAATGCTGTATATTATTATTGTGAAAATTAAAGTACACAGTGTAACAATGCATCTATTTAGCTTAACATAGGTTTTGGAATAGAGCACGTCCAAAAAATTGAAGTTACCGTTATTTTTTTTTAAAGAAAGGCTTTAATGGGGCGCCTGGGTGGCGCGGTCGGTTAAGCGTCCGACTTCAGCCAGGTCACGATCTCGCGGTCCGTGAGTTCGAGCCCCGCGTCAGGCTCTGGGCTGATGGCTCGGAGCCTGGAGCCTGTTTCCGATTCTGTGTCTCCCTCTCTCTCTGCCCCTCCCCCGTTCATGCTCTGTCTCTCTCTGTCCCAAAAATAAATAAACGTTGAAAAAAAATTTTTAAAGAAAGGCTTTATTATTTTTTTAACAAAAAGTACAGAAAAAAGTAGTTCCAGAGTTCGTTCGGTGGCTCAATGATAGTGTGATAGACATAAAATCTGTTCATCTTCCTGTACCACTGTTAACATGCCAGCTTCCATTCCCAATGCGCTTTGCCTCATGTCACAAAATAGTTACCAAAGATCCCGGCATTAAATCCTCATTTGACGGTGTCCAAAGCTGAAGAAAGGAGGTAGGCAAGAAGAAAAGGATCTTTCATCATATGGTTCTCTCCTTTCATCAAAGAGAAAAATTATCCTCAAAAGCTCATCATCCCCCAGCCAACCTCCTCATGTCTCAAGTTCTACCAGATGTAGTTACGATTATACCTTTCCTTTAAATTCTGTCCTTTCTTGGCTTTAGAGGTACTGCCCTAGCCCATTTTTCATTCTACCTTTCAGATGGCTTTCTCTTTCCGTATTTTGTGGCCTAATTTTAGCTAGTGACAAATTAACTCAGCAATATATATATATATATATATACATATATATATATATATGTATATATATATATGTATATATATATATATAATGGCTCAAATACATAGAGGTTTATTTTTGAGTCATCTAACACTTACGAGGGTTTTTGGATAGGTAAGATGTTGGGGACGATGGAAGATTCATGTCAACGGAGGCTCTGCACTTCTCAACGCTGCTGGGGCCATTCCCATTCAATCAGTGGAAGGAAAAGTAGCATGTAGGAGCACTGTCTGGTGGTGGTAGTGGTGGGGTGGTTATGAGCCAGGCCTGGTATGGGACCATCACTTCCATCCATGTCTCATTGAATGGGTTCTAGCCATCCCTGGGCAATGGAGTCCAACCGTGAGTCCAGTGGAAAGGGGGTGAAAGTGGAGGTGAATCCATCCCTGGCTCTTCTGCTGAATCCTTTCCTGCATTCCTTCTCCTGATTTAGACCTCCTCAAGGAGATGTCCAGGTTTTTATCTGTTTCTTCACTTTTCCCCTAGGCTTACTTCGCCTACGATGCCACAACCAAGAGAAAGGAGACTGGCTTCACTCATTGAGCATTCCTACACCTTCCAAGTGTCCTGTTCACTTTTCTTCTTGTTTCCCACTTGAATAATGGGTTCGTCCAATTGAAGACATCGGGAGAAGGTTTGGGGCAAAAAGAAAGAGAATGGACTGCCAGCATGGGTTTGATTCCAAGACCAGCCATCTTGGAACTTGAACACAGTTTATAGGCAGGAAATGGCCCATGTAGTCCTGGATTATAAACCGGTGGCTTTCTTTGCCAACTCACTGGAACCTTGGGAGCCCAGTTTTAATACTATTTATAACCTGCTCTGAGATCATGTCCCCAAATACTAATTGCAAAGGATTTTAATATAAAGGTGCTCTTCAATCACAGACTTTTCATAAACAAATACATTTGGGAAACACTAAGTTAAAAGAGGTGAACAGGTGTCCCTACTCTAAGCACCCTTCCTTGGTTTTTTTTCACGCATCAACCATTTCTTAAGTGGTAGCATCAGGCACCATGCGAGGCTCTGTGGGTGGGTTCTCAACACACTCACATGGCCCCTATTCTCCAGCGATATAAAATATGGCACCAAGATGCACTGTAAGTTTCCGAGAGGGGGCCATAGTACGCAGTTTTCCCCAATACTATTTGACCACAGACACCTCCTTATTTAAAAAAAAAAGGAGTATGATAAATTCCCACATACCCATCACCCGGTTTCAACAATTACCAACTCATGGCCCATTCTACCCATCTGCACCTCCTACTTCCTTCCTCACCACCTGAGTATTTTGAAACAAATAGCAGACATCATATCTTTTTATCGGTAGATTGCTCATTATGTGTCTCTAAAAGATAGGGGCTCTTTGAAATAACATAAACCACAATACTGTCATTACATTATTGGTGATTTTGAATGTTCTCCACTAGTGGTTTATATATATTAAAATATGTCTATGTTTTATAATATATTATATATTATAAAATTTTAATATATATAAACCACTCGTGGAGAACATTCAAAATCACCAATAATGATATATATATATATATATAAAACACATACATATATAATATATATATATTCACACTTTTGAATCAAATAATCTTATTTTATTTAAAAAAATTTTTTTTAACGTTTTATTTATTTTTGAGACAGGGAGAGACAGAGCATGTACAGGGGAGGGTCAGAGAGAGGGAGACACAGAATCTGAAACAGGCTCCAGGCTCTGAGCTGTCAGCACAGAGCCTGAGGCGGGGCTCGAACTCACGGACCACGAGATCATGGCCTGGGCCGAAGTCGGCCGCTTAACCGACTGAGCCACCCAGGCGCCCCCAAATAATCTTATTTTAAAAATATATTAAGATGCAATAAACATAAATGGGTATTCAGGTGCATGTGCACACACGTGCACGCACACACACACACATGCTGAGTAGCTGTGACATCATCTCCAAGGAAACACCCTGGTCCTGAGGGCAGTCTCCACCACACACTGGGTGGACCCGTTCTGCCTGCAGTAGAATTGGAAAGGAAATCCCGCCCACCCTCACGTACCCCAGTCCTGTGGGAAATGGGACTGGGGGGGATCTGGCCTGGTCTTACAGGTGCTGTAAGTGGCTCTGTCAGGTGGCCTCTGAAAAGTGATGTGGGGGAGGATGACAAAATCTGGGCAGCAGGAGGCAGGGCCACCGTACGACATCATCCAGAGAAGTTTCGATCAGTCCCCCCCTTCTGCCACACAGCTGAGGCTCCATGTCTAGCCTCGGAACTGTTGAAGTCTTCTTGGTCACTTTAGCCCCTGGGTCAGTATCTAGAAGACCATTCCTCACCAACGAGTTTGGCCCAGTGACCAAAGATGTAAGCAAAGGCATGGAAACTCTGAGCACTCCGTAAAAGCCAGAGGGAAACCCCAGAACGAGAGGATGTACCTAAGCCATATTTGGCTTTCATCCCAATTGTACCTAAGCTGGCCTTCTCAGAAGCAGTCCCCTTTCCCAGCCCAGATGGGGCTACACCAACGATGGCATGTTCAAGCCATGGCTTGCCTTGTTCAAGGATGGAGAACTGCCCCAGGCTTGTGGGGCAGAGGGACCCCCCAAGACGGAGGTCATGTTTCTCCAGAGATAAGTCAACCAACAATGGCACTTCTGTTGCCTCATCTTGCGGAGAAATAGCCCCATGTCCAGTGGCTGATGGCTGCTCCCCTTAAGGTTGTGTTCAGAGTTACCAGTGCTGTGAGGGGGTGCGGGGGGTGATGTGGGCGGGATGCAGAGGGGTGATGGGAATTCTATCAGTTTCTCAGATGCTTTTGGTCTCTCTCAGCTCCTATTCTCTCTACTTTCCTTTTTTTTTTTTGAGTTTATTTATTTTGAGAGTGAGAGAGGGCGCAAGTAAGGGAAGGGCAGAGAGAGCTCTGTTAGCGCAAAGCCGGATGTGGGGCTAGATCCCACAAACTGCAAGATCACGACCTGAGCTGAAACCAAGAGTCAGTCGCTCCACCGACTGATCCAGCCAGGCACCGCCTCTACCTTCTTTATGTTTTCCTCCTGATGTGTCTCCTTTCTCTTCCCCCCTGCCCTCCTCACAAGGCTCAGCCCTCATCCCTGTCTCTCGACTGGCTTCCCCTCCCGCCAGCCACAAATACTCTCTTCCTTACAACTTTGAGCTCTCTCCCCTCACATTGGTCTGCCCATCTGCCACCCCCTCTAGCCGGGGTTTGTCCCTCTTTCGTCCCCACCCACGGAGTGTCAGTCCCCAGTGGCCTGACTTAGACCTCTCATGTTTCCATTCTCATCACACGCAATCTGGAAACTCACCCTCAGAGCAGAAGGAGGGCTCTGGGGTGCAGCCCCCAGGACATCTTTGTTTCACACCCCTTTCTCTTCCTCTAACGAAGCAGTGACAGGCTTCTCTGGTCCCTTATTTGAGAGAAAGACAGAATGACAAGAAGCTATTGCATGGGATGGGCGTGGAGGGCACAGGGAATGTTTTGCTCTCTCAGTGGTTACAGAGCCCCATATCTACAGAGAATGAGGGAAGTACCAGTTATGTTATCAGGAGAAGGGCTTATTCAGGACCTCTCATAGAACTCTGTGTTTTTGGAATGGCTATAGTCACTTACAGGTAGAAAATCTGAGGATCGGGGCGCCTGGGTGGCGCAGTCGGTTAAGCGTCCGACTTCAGCCAGGTCGCGATCTCGCGGTCCGTGAGTTCGAGCCCCGCGTCGGGCTCTGGGCTGATGGCTCGGAGCCTGGAGCCTGTTTCCGATTCTGTGTCTCCCTCTCTCTCTGCCCCTCCCCCGTTCATGCTCTCTCTCTGTCCCAAAAATAAATAAAAACGTTGAAAAAAAAATTTAAAAAAACCCCAAAAAACAGATAGAAAATCTGAGGATCAGAGAGGTTAAGTGGTTTGCCCACAGTCACACAGCAGTGGAGCCAGCGATGGAGCCTGGCCTCATGTCAAAGCCCTTGTTCATTCTATTGTACAGAGGGTTGCCATGGACTGCTTTTTCCTGTCTTAACCATCTGAGAAGGTCTCTCCCCATCATCTAGCACCTCAGCATTTGTTTCTCTCTCTACTAATTTGCATCTCATTTCCTCTAGAAAAGTTTATGGTGTACTCCTCTTCGCTTCCCCGCCTGTCCCGGCCCGCACACTTCTCTGCCCACGTCTTGGTGACGTCACCAGCACCGCGGGAAAATTCCAGAGAACCTCCCCACTCTGTGGAGCTTCGGGATTCAAGCTGTCTGGAGTCAGGGCCAAAGTTTCCTACCCTTGTGAGATGCTTGTAGAAACCTGCACTCGTGACCTCAGGGTCTGCTTCAAGGTAAAGGGGACCTAGGGCAGGAGAGGAGGAGAATCCAGATACAGTCTTCTCAAGGTCAGAGAGATATCTGCAGGTTGATGGAGGCCGAGCCACACATTCAGCTCCCGCCAGTATGCCCAGTAACCCCTCTCCCCACCAGCGAGCTAGCTGGTATGCAAACACATGCTTCTACCTTCAGTGTCCCATGCAGATCTGTTCTGTGTTTCTTGACAGGGTAGGGCCTCTACAGTGTTGAAAATACTAAAAAGAAGAAGAAGAAGAAGGAAGTAGGAAGAAGGAAGAAAGAAGAAAGAAGAAAGAAGAGGGAGAAATCAACCTAGACTCCACTCACTATTAAAAGTTATTTGGCTCTTGCTTATTTTCCTTTCAGTTTTGGATCACGGATGGCCAGGTTGAGTTTTTTTCTAACTATTGCCATGATGGTGGGTGCAACGTTTTCCCTCCTGCTTTTCCCTCCTGCTTTGCTCCCTTACCGTTTATTCTGTCATGCTCATTTTTCAACGTAAATTCCAGAATTACTATTTTAAAATTATGTCCAGGGACGCCTGGGTGGCTCCGTCGGTTAAGCGTCTGGCTCTTGATTTTGGCTCAGGTCGCAATCTCCCAGTTCATGAGTTTGAGCTCCATGTCGGAGCCTGCTTGGGATTCTCTCTCTCTCTCCCTCTCTCTCTGCCCCTCCCCTGGTCTCTCTTTCAAAAATAAATAAACTTAAAAAAAAAAAAAAGGCAAATAAAATGATGTCCAGCATTTCATTGACTGGATGCAGCGTAATATATTAAAATATTTCCTTGCTGATATGCATTTCAGTTGCTTCCTCTGGTCACAATTGTATAGAACATTTTAGTGGAAATGTTTATGCACGTCATGTTTTGCTTTCCTTGAATTATTGCCTCAAAAAGTCATCAGAAATGAAAATGGTTGGGATAGTTTGATCGCAATATGGAGTTAGTATGAAGCCTGGAGTCCCCGTAGGGTTAAAAACACAGGTTTGGCACTTGCTAGCTGTGTAACCTTGGACCAACTGTCTTTCTAAGTCTCAATTTCCTCCGAAGTGAAAGAAGGCAGATAGAGTCCCTAATCCGTGTGGTCGCAGTGAGGACTGAATTAAACAAAGTACCGTAGATTCCGTACATTTGGGCTGTTACTAGGACGCATCCCATGGCTGCTGTTACGATCCTCGTACTCACGCTGTTTTTCTGTTCCTTTAGACTAAGCTGACTCAACCCCATGTGGCTGAAAGTGAAAATGTTTCTAGAGGCAAACTCAAACCGGTTTGCCCCATAACCCGACGGGTCAAATTACTTCAGATCTTCTTGCTTTACTGATACCTCTCAATGTGCCCCTTGCTCCCTTCACAAATGTGTCCGCCCTGAGTCTGAGACTTTGGTCAAATCTCAGCCCTAACTTGATCTCTTTCAAGGCTCTTCCAAAGCCTTTTTCGGACCCTGGTCCCAGATGACCGCAGGTATGTTAAAACGACCCCTTCCCCATCCTGCAGGACGTGTAATTATATGGGAGCAGGAGATTAGTAGAGGTGATGTGAGCTTTTGTATTGAGTTAACTACTTGTTAATTTTGTGTTTGGGGTCAAGGTGTAGGGGTCCAATGAATGGTGCCTTTTGCCTTCCTTCCTGAGTTCAGAATCAAAGAGGAAGTACACTCAGGAGTCAGGTAGACGGAGGTGAGGATAACGGCTTTATTCGCAGGAGCAGCTGAAGAAAAGAATAAGGCCTCAATAGGCAGCCACATAAATGAACGTGAAGCATTTCCCCCCTCAAAATAGCCTTCAGGCTTCTGGCACTTGCCAGGGAGCTGATGGGCCTAGAAGGGACCCCGCTGCAGGCAGGTGCATCTGAAAGTGACGGAGGGGGAGGAGTCCCATGGAGAACATTTGGTCTTTTTCCAAACTCACTGTCAGAAAAGAGAGTGCAAAGGATGGTCAGAGAGGCCAGGGGTGTTTTTAGCTGCAGTTTCTCGGCATGGAAATGTCAGGCCAGGGAACAGTAGGTTTCTTTTTGGACCCAATATGTGATCCCATACTGGCTCGCGGCACATGATGATGACAGGTCCAGTCTTGCCATTTGGACCTCTCACAGCTACAGTTACACCCACTCTTTCCCTTCTCCTCTCTTCGCCTTCCCCATGACCCCCCAGAATAGTCTTTGTCCCTAGGACAGTGTTGACCCACAGCTGGCACCCCCGAGATAGGGGTGGAGCTCTGACCTTGACAGCTCTTTAAATTTTTTTTTTAATGTTTATTTATTTGTTTCGAGAGACAGAGAGTGCAAGCAGGGGAGGGGCAGACAGGGAGAGAGACTCCTAAGCAGGCTCCACGCCATTGACACAGAGCCCTACCTGGGGCTCAAACCCACGAACCGTGAGACTATGACCTGAGCCTATACCAAGAGTCAGACACTTAACCGACTGAGCCATCCACGTGCCCCTGGCATTGATGGCTCTTGGATCATGTTGTCACATTGCTTTTCTGTCAATTTATAATTCCATCCATCACGTAATAGGATTACGTCAGTAACAACAACAGCCGCAACAAAAACTCCCAAACAAAAAGCAAAAATCCCAGTTCAAGTTGGCTCAGGCAATAGAGATTTATTATTTCCCATCACAAGAAGGTGGTGTTAACAATATTACTCAGTGATATCGAATTCAGGTTCTTTCTCTTTTTCTGCTCCGCCTGCTGCCCCTTGACTTCCTCCTAAGACTGGTCCTGCTCGTGGTCCTCTGGTACACGCTGTACCTAGGCATCCCATCCAGGAATTACCTCATCCAGAAAAAGAAAAGGGACCATGCCGTCTTTGTTTTACGTTTTAAATGAGGAGCTCTTCCCTAAAATACTCCTCACCCTGCACCGGCCCTTACTAAACCAATCTCTACGCGAGAGGATGAAGCCCCCATTATTGTCTTAGCCCTGTTCATAGCTAGAGAGGGTGGACACACTGAGAAACCCGGGGCTCTGACACAAGGGAAAGGGGACAACAGATGTCAGGCGGGCAGCCAGCTATGTCTACTGCGCATCACTAGGCATCTGTTTCAGTGGTTGGGATTTTAAAGAACCAGTCTCCTTCTATTTCTGCGTTCTCATGTCTCAACCTCAATTTCCTCCTCTGCCTCCTGCACCTTGCAAGGCTGCTGTGATGATTGAAACGGCGTGTGTGACTTTAGAGAGTGCTGTGTAAACCTGGCATGCGACGAGCATGGTGAGCGGAACATGAGTCTCTCCTACCACCCCTGGGGTGCAACTCCTTCCCGACTTCAACTGTTGTTTGCAAAGCTGGGATCTCGTCCTTGCGAGCCTGGAGAGTGGAAACATCTCATCATGGTGGTAAGAGTTCCTCTTTGACCTCCAAAAATAATGAAAAAAAAAATGTAAATAACAAACTGAAGCAGATTGAACCAACAAACATGAAAAGATGCTCAATGCCACTCATCATCAGGGAAACGCAAATTAAAAACTCCAGTGAAATGTCACCTCACACCCATTAGGATGGTTACTATCTCAAACGCCGGTAAGTGTCTGGAGACGCTCTAATCCTTGTGCCCTGGGGGTGGGAAGGTGAAAAGGTATAGCCATTATGGAAAACAGTATGGTGGTTCCTCCAGAAATTCAAAATGGAATTGCCACCTGAGCTAGCAATCCCACTCGTGCGTGTCTAGACCAAAGAATCGAAAGCAGAATTTTGAAGAGATATTTGCGCACCCACGTTCATAGCGGCATCATTTACAAGAGCTAAAAGGTGGAAGCAACACACATTTTCATGGACAAATAAATGAAGGCGCACAATGTAGCATCATTCCGTCCTCAAAAGAAAGGAAAGCTGACGCATGCTACAACATGAATGAACCTGGAGGACATCATGCTAAGCGAAATAAGCTAGTCACAGGAAGACAAGCACTGTAATATTCCACCTAGGTGAGGTATCTAGACTCGTCAAATTCATAGAAACAGAAAGGACAATGGTGGTTGGTAGGGTAGGAGAGAAACGGGGGGTTGTTCAGTGGGTAAGAATTTAAGTTTTGCAAGAAAGAAAACTTCTAGAGATCGGTTGCATGCCAACGTGTACGCGTTTAATGCCCCTGTACCACATATACTTAGAAATGGTTGAGTTGGCAAAATTTGTGTTATGCATTTTTTTTACCACAATAAAATTTTTCTATGTAAAAACATTTTTTAAATGTTTATTTATTTTTGAGAGAGAGAGAGAGAGAGAGAGAGAGAAAGAGAGCATGAGCAGGGGAGGGACAGAGACAGGGAGACACAGAATGTGAAGCGGGTTCCAGGCTCCAAGCTGTCAGCACAGAGCTCAATGCGGGGCTCAAACCCATGAACCACAAGAATATGACCTAAACCAAAGTCAGACGCTTAACCGACTAAGCCACCCAGGCGCCCCAATAAAAAATGAAAAAAAAAATTGTTTTAAATATAATTTATTGTCAAATTGGTTTCCATACAACACCCAGTGCTCATGCCGACAAGTGCCCTCCTCTGGGTTGATGATATGCAGGGCTGGATAGTACATAGAGATATAAGCACTTACCCCCACCTTTTAAACAGTTGATGGGACTTCAAATGGCCTTATTTTTTTGTGGATGGCGGTTTGGTAATATCTACCGCAGTTAAAGGCAGGAGAGGGAGGAGAGTGCGAGGGATATTATCAAGGAGGGGGTGCATGGGGCCTGAATGAAGGATCATCATGTAACTGGACCCCAAGAGTAGGAGCTGAGTCTGCCTCCGGAGACCGCCCAGCCTCTGCCCAGCAAGGACCATCTGCAGCCAACCTTAGGAAGCTGGACAAACCACCCCTTGCCAGTTGAGTGAACACTGAACCTTTCTGGTAGTGAGGGCCTCTATTAGCTGTCTTCCTCCTGGCCACCGGTAAAGGCCTCCTTCCGGTTCCTTTCTGGTCGTCTTGGTGGAACTGCCATCTGCCTATGCCCAGAGATTTCGCTAAGGCCTCTCTCCGCCATCCATGTTAGGCAAGGTTGGCGAACCAGCAAAAAAAAACCCCAATATTTTAGTGGCTGAACACAGTAGAGCTTGCTTTCTTTCTTTCTTTTTTTTTATACAAGGTTCAATGAGGATGTTTTTGGCTGATCAGCAACCCCGTGCAGTTCTCCTCCAAGCTCTGACTCAGGGATCCGGGTTTCTTCCATCTGGTGGCTTTGCCGTGCCCTAAGCCCTCGTCAGAGTCTTCTCCTGGAGCGGGAGCTCTGCGTTCGGCCAGATGGCAAGCTAAGAGAGAGCAGGGAAATTGCATGGGCTGTTTTAGGATCCAGGCTTGGAAGTGGCATCCATCAGTGCCACCCGCGTCCTACTGGCAAGACACGGTCACACTGCAGCACTTGGATGCAACAAGTCCGCAGATGGTCTCTATGGTCTTGTGTGGCCGAAAAGAAAACAAGCTGGTTGGCGCATACATACCAATGTGTCTGTCCTAGTACCTTATGAAGACAACCCCTCTTATAACAACCTAGAACACTTAAGCCCACTGAAACAGAGGCAGTGCCTGCATACCCGAAGGAAGGCTGGTGATAGATGAAACACCCCTTCGCTGTTCCCAGCACCCCCGTACTGGGTTGGGCCAATAAAGAGCCATTTCAAGATACTCGCAGCCCATTCCCAACTGACACTTTTAATCATAAAAAAGTGAAGATGTCATTTCTACTCGAACAAAACCTACTTTCCTCTTCTTCCACCTACAGGAATTTCATTACTGAGACCGCATTTCCCAACAGGTACAGAGAGCCTGTCAAATCATGAGAGACTCTTAAGGACTGAGAACAGACTGAGGGTTGATGGGGGGCGTGGGGGAGAGGAGAGAGTGGGTGATGGGCATGGAGGAGGGCACTTGTTGGGATGAGCACTGGGTGTTGTATGGAAACCAATCTGACAGTAAATTATATTAAAAAAACAACAACAACATACTGCAGTGACTGGAGGAACTGAAAAACAGATCATTTGCACCTGCTTGGCCCTTTCCAAGGAGGAATTCCTGCCAACCCTGCCTGTTCAAATTCTACCCGTCCGCTGGGGGCACACATATCTCAGGACCTAAGATTCCTTCCCTTACTACTCAGCCCATAGAGATCCTATCCCTTTCTGCCTTACAAAACACTGATTATTTTTGTTACTATCATTTGAGATTTGGTTGTCACTTGTATTGAACTCCACACCTTCGTGCAACAGTTATCAACTAAGCATACCGGGTTCCGGACTAAAGGATTCAGAGATAATAAAAGGAAAACAGCCTTCCTGGAATCTGCAGCCCAGTGAAGAAGGCAAATGAACTTTCTGTAAGTGTTCTGGAGCTTAAAGACAAATACAAAACGTCTTGGAGATTCAGATGGAAGAGCCGTCTTCCTGAATGTGAGTGAGGATGCACTGGTGCATTTGAATTCGGACTTTGAAGGGTGCAAAAGGCCCTAACAAGCAGAGTCTGGGGAGTGCGTTCCAGGGGAAAGCAAGAATGGGCAAAGTCACCAAGGTGTTGGAAAATTTCACAACAGGCAGGTTATTCTGGATGGCTGGAGATAAAGCTGCAAAGGTGAGAATCAGTTAGGATTCTTTGAGCTGCCAAGTAATAAAAGTATGTCTCAAACAGGCGTAGGTAGTAAGAAACTATATTTCATAGCTGGAGGTCCAGAGAGGCAGGGGAACTCCAAGAGCCGTTTGATCAGGGCTCCGTGTCTGTTTCTCTGTTCTTCTCTTGGGTCTGCTTTGCTCTGTGTTCATGCTGCCCTCATGGTGGCCATCCTCATGGTTGCAAGATGGCTGCCAGCAACATCCAGGGCATAGGTTGTTCATGTTGAAAGACAGAAAGAAAAAAAAATTGTTTGGCCTGAGAAAACCTCTTCTCAGATCTCATTGATGTAAAATGGCTTAGGACTGCCCATTCCTGAACCAGTCAGTGACAAGAGAACTACCATGAATGGAATAAAAATAATTGCTTGAGCCAAGTGCAAGGTAGGAGGAAGTCAGCCACGATGGTTCCCCTGGTAGGCTTGGGCCAGACTGAAAAGTCGTGAATCTTGGCCTCAAAAATCTGTGTGCCTAATAAAAGGCACGGGGGCTATTGAATGTTTTTCTGCAGGGGAGTAAACAGAACTGAGTTCAAGGTGAAATTATTTAGATGTTTCTATCAGAAATAATAAAACAGAGGAGAGCAGATGTGGAAGAGTAGGTGCTCACTGCCATTATATCTTTTCCTTCTCCACACATCAAAAATGACTCCCAAGAATGAAGCTGCCACAATCATTCACATCAGGTATAAATAACTGATAAGGTATGATGCCAGTGGGAACAGAAAAGAGAATTTTAATGGAAGACACATTCCAGACAAGACAGGATGATTGTAGATGGGGAAAGAAAAATTAAAAATGATTCTGACGTTGTGAATTAATGACTTAAACATGTAGTGCCATGAATAGAAATATGATCATCTAGGAGAGGCAGTGAGATAATTTTGAATCCATAAATCAGATGCATGACTAATAGCAATGATAACAGTAAGAAAATGATGCTTATAGTGACAAAATGATGACAGTTAATAGTAAATTTAGTATATATCGGGCAATTAATATATATCAGGCACATAGTAGAGACTTAGTATTTGTTGCTCTGTTACATGTGTGTATTCACTTATTCCTTACAATGATCCCCAAATTATCCCCATTTTGCAGAGGAGGAAACTGAGGCTCGGAACGGTACAACCAAACAACCCAAGGTCACATACATAACTGAGAAGGAGATAAGGTGGGATCAGACCCAGACCATCTAACTCGGGACCGTATGCTTTCAGTCATCAAATCAGTAGCTAACATTTATTAAGCATCATACTTTGTGACAGTACTTTACAAACATTCCCTTTAATCCTTAAGAGTCAACATATAAAAGGGATAGTATTATCCCTGGTGTACAGATGAGCAACCCGAAGCACAGAAAGGGTAAGAGACTTGCCCAGAGTCACACAGCTGGTAAATGGCAGAGGCAGCATTCAAACTGCAGTGGGCACATAGCTCAAAAGCATGCACTCTTTCCAGGACTCCATGGGAAAGACACATGCACCCTAGGAGCACAGGATCTATATCCCTTGTCTCATCGAGGAAACGGTACACTTGCGGCCTGGGGACCAAGCCTGACACGTTTGGGGCACACGCCTGGTGGGGACCTGGCACGTGATGCGGGGATCAATAGAATTTGAGGTCTCTGGGAATGTCTGCATATTGAACAAGCTGAAATTGCTACGGGAGGGTCCCGACCACCGGGGGCAGGAGATTGGAGGAGGTGGAAGGGTGGAGTATTATTAACCGAACAAGTTCAAGTGCAGAGAGTCCTGAGTCTGGTTGCAGTCCTGTAACTCATTAGGCCCCTGGGGGGGGGGGTGCCTTGGGCAAAGTGCTTAACCTCTGAGCTTCACTGTCCTCATCTGTAAAATGGGGACAAAAATAGCTGGACCTCACCCCGGGGAGCTGTCTCTTGGGGACTGAAGACGACGCAAGCTCGTGAAACATGGGGCTCAGTGCCTAGCGTATAGCAATACTTATTACCCCGTAGCGGCGTTGCTATGATTGTTGTTAGGATGATGATTTCTGCAAGAGAATGTGGAAGGAAACAAGTCCACGCCTCCGGGAGGAGGGATTCTGCGGCTTATATTTCATAACGTTCTTGCCCCTTTGAAGCCTCCACATAGCAGCCGCCTTGACTTCCAACTTTCACGGCAGGCTCTCTCCAAACCAGATGGACCAAAGCCAGTGGCTGCTCCAGGAGCAGAGGAGGGCCAGGAGAAGGGCCAGTGGGGCGGGGGTGGGTGATAGGACGAGGGGGTGGAGAAGGGCTGCCCACCCCAGGAGGCTTCTCCTAGGCTCTTCCCAGATCCCACCAGCTCCAAGGGTGGCTCCAGCTCTGGCCGTGCTTTTTGCCCAGCCACATCGTTTGTATTTCCAAATGTAACAGACAGCTGGCGGCCACTGGTTCTGGCTTTTCCCCACCATGACCTCGGAGCAGTGGGGCTGTGGGGTCAGTGCCGGCCGTGGAGCAGCCGCTGCCCTCTCCACACTGGGGAGGGGGAGGCAGGAAGGTGGACAGAGCCCAGCAGCCCCCGGAGACCCTGGCCCCCGTAGTCCCTGGCTACTCCACAGGGGGTTTTCAGATCTTCCGG